GCCTTGAGCTCGCCAGGGAGCCCGGGCCGGCCTGGAACTGGAGGAGAACCTCCCGCCTCGACCCCTCCCCACTCCCTCACCAAACGCTGGTATCCCAGGCTGCACCACAGCACTTCGCACTGCGCTGTTTTACATAAACGACTTGAGTACCCAAGATTTGCCAATGGGAGGTGAGTCCTGGGACCAGACCCCCATGGACACTGAGGGACGGCTGCCATCTCAAACTGAATGGTGGTGCTGGTTGCACTGAACCACACAAACGTATCAAAAGCCACTGCACTCCACATGGACCACAGAGGATGTGACGGAATCTAAGTCACCTTCATCAAGAGTAACCTGTGGGGTTCCCCCGGCCTGCAGAGCAAAGGCCAAGTTCTTCTCCCTCTCTACTCCAGCTCGTTTCATAAAACCTGGCACTGCCGGGCGTGGTGGCGCACACCTCTAATCCCAGCACTTGGGAGGCTGAGGCAGGAGGATTGCTCTGAGTTCGAGACCAGCCTGGGTTACATAGTGAGTTCCAGGTCAGTCTCAACTACATAGTGAGACTCTGTCTCAAAAAACAAACAAAAAACTGAAACATAAAACCTGGCACCTTCCACCTCAGGGCCTTTGCACTGGCTGCTCCCATCACCTGAAAAGCTTTTACCTCACCTACCTTTGTGACTCCCTCCTTCCCCTCCTTCAGGTCTTTGGTCAAATCTGCCTCCTCCTGGATAAAAAAGGTTCACCCTGGCTGTGACACGGGACTGGGCAAGGGAGTTGTGGACACAGTGGTGACAAGACAGCTCCTGCTCTTGGCCTGTCTGTCCAATCTTACATGCCACCTCCAGGAACAGCACCCAAGGGGCGGGGAAGCACCTGGGACCAGGGCTGCACAGCCCCAGAGGAAGCCAGCCTGCAGCCCAGCCTGGCACTGCTGAGAACCCACCTCACCCATTCCACGTACTGTATCCGAGCTCCTCTTCTGTGCCCAGCTCTGAACTGAGCAGAAGCAGCGACACGGTGGTGACCGAAACAATCCTGACCTGCCCTCCTGGGGCTCCCAGTCCAGCCCCAGTGTGAGGAGCAGCAAAGGCTTTCTGGGAGAAGAGACGCCTAAGCTGTAGGACCAGCGAAGAACAGCCAGGCAGGAAAGAAACATGTGCAGAGGGCTGAGGGAAGGGATCTGAGGCGCAAGGTGGAACGAGAAATTGGCATGGCCGACCCTCCTCTTTCCTGTGGTGCTCAAGCAGGGGTGATTCCAGCCCCAGCACACGTGGCAACATCTGGAGACAGTTTTGGATGTCACAACCATAGAGGGGTCCGTATGCTTTTGGCACCTTCTGCAGACAAGTGAGGGATGTTGCTAAGCATCCTAAGGTACATGGGCCAGCCCCTAAGACAGAGCACTATCCAACCTAAACCTGTCAATAGGGCTATGTAAATTGGGCAGAGTGACGCACATCTTTAATCCCAGCACTGGGAGGCTGAGACAGGAGGATAGCAGCAAGTTCTAGGCCAGTCTGAACTACGTAATGAGACCCTGTCTCAAAAAACAAAAATGTGGAAGAGAAAGAAATCTTAGTCTAGTCTCAAGAAAAGTGTCAGATCATGTGAGGCCTTGATCTGCTTAAATAAATAAATAAATAAATGAAATTGTATTTTAACCTGAGGACAAAGGCATGAGCATTAAAAGATTTCAGAGGGGCCAGACGTGGTGGCGGCACATGCCTGTAATCCCAGCACTCCGGAAGCTGAGGCAGGAAGATCGCTGTGAGTTCGAGACCAGCCTGGGTTACATAGTGAGTTCCAGGTCAGCCACAACTACATAGTAAGACCCCTGTCTCCAAAAAAAAGGGGGAGAGCAGACCTGGAAGCATCCAGAAGCTCAGAGTCGTCAGAGCAACTTGAACCCTGGTCTCTTGGGCTACCCCACTCTCAATATCAACAGGAACTCACAGGAGGAAAAGACCTCCCCTTTGAAAGACTGGGAACCCCCTGAAGGCAGGGCCGTCATCCACATCCCACAAGCTCACAATCTTCCCCTGAGCTGTCCCTGAGGCCAAGTCTGGGCTGGAAATGCTGAAAAGACTGTCCAGGTATGTTAGGCTCCTCACCCAAACTTCACCCTGGTGGGCTTTCCAGGTATTACTGCCCCTTCATTGGATTCCCCCAGTCCCTGACTAGCGCCTTTGTCACCATCCTAGCCGTCAAAATTATAACTGTTTACAAGGCAGGCTCCTCTCCCACTCCCCTGCCAGCAAGGCACATGGCTGGTGCCATCTTTGTGGCCCTTCACAGACAGGGCTGGCCTTCCTGTCCAACTCGGTGACCCCTGGAGAAACGGAGATGGAAGAGGGAAAGGAACCTGGCCAAGGTCACACAGCCAGCTTCATTCTCCCCTCCCAACCCACACTCCTCTCCCCTGAACTGCCTCCCACGTAAGTGACATCCCCGTGGGTGGGTCGACAGCACCTGACTCCATCGATTCCCCAGATGCCTGAAAGGTGCCTGCCTGAACGGGTGCGCTCTGCAGCCTCAGTTTCGTTTAGGTAGAACTGGTCAAAAGTCACCTGCATCAGGACCAATTCCCCCAAAGGATCCGATTATGCTGAAAGCATTCATTACCCAATCCCAGTGCGGACCAGCCAGGGTCAGCTTCTATATGGAACGGATGGCAAACCTATCCCGGGTGACCTTCCGCAAGCACCCCAGTCTCGCTGTTACTCGCACTCCTGTCTGTAAAATGGGTCCCCTGGCCTCCACAGTCCGTGCCCTCAACCCACGACGATTACCGGATTTCCCCAGAGCTAGAAAGGTCGCAGTTAACCAGCGCCCACCTCTCAGACCCTGCGAGCGAGCCTGAACGCCAGACCACTCTCAGAAGTGCCTTAGATCTGGAATCAGAGTGAAGAACCCAGGTCCACCGCGTACAAGTCTGCGCCCCTCCACGCCACGGTCTCCTTGGCTCGAGCACTGAGCCTGGTAGCCGCCCGGCGCGAGCGTGCAGGGGACCAGGCGCGCAACAGG